GATGTTCCCCAGCATCTTAATCTTGGCAATGGCTCTCTGTTCCTCCTCCTCAGGGAGGAGGGGACCATCATGCTTATCATAGACTGGAAAACAAAGAAGCCTGTTTAACGCAGCTTTGGAAAGACAAGATCAATTAATTCTGTATTAGAATGGTTTTAAAACTTACTATCAACATTTCTGGTTCGGTTTTCAAATTCATCTTGAAGTTTAGATATTAGGAGGCGTCTGAATGTCTAAAAAGAGAGAACAAAGAAAGCAATTAAGTTAATCACTGCAACCACACATACTAGCAAGATTTATCATTCCAGATTGAAAGGTGAACTCACTGTGCTTTGCTTCTGTCCTGGATGACTCTCTGCTGATGGGCCATCAAAGTTGGGTGCATCTTCTGCCAGTCGCAGACATAGTTGAGCATACAGTGAACTATACTTAGGCTCTTCAAGGGCTTTGTCTACGATCTAAATAAACATAAGGTAGCATGTAGGCAGATGTAGCAGGATGCAAATTAACATTAGCTAAGTGAGCTGCAAGACACACAAGGGAATATTACCACTCTGCATGATCTAGAACATCTGATTTTGCTATTTCAAACACACAGAAATAATGGACTCTGCTTTAACATTACTCTTAATGCTGAAGCAAAAGATAAAAGCCACACCACAAGCTTCTATAATGCTCAGCCAACAAATGGCACAAATTTAAAGTTATCATCAGGAACAAAGTTTTTCCCAATCCGAGTTTAAACACAGTAACATGACAGTTAGACTACCAAGAGATCAACTGTGATAGCTATTCAAAGACCATTGGGCTTCATCAGGGAAAAAGAAAGAGGAATGGAGGAGGGGGGAGGGCAGGGAATTAAGACTGCTAGCTAGCACCTCAGATGACCCCCCAAAAAAATCCCCACACCAATCCACCCCCCCCACCGGCCCACCCCCAACCCCAGCAAAACAAATGAACAACAACAACAACAAAAAAAAACCCCATCCAATCATGTTTGGTGACTCTTGAGACTGCTGAAACAGTAAGTTAGAGCATTAAGTCCACCTCCTCGAAGCATATCCTTTTTACACAAAAAGCAGGTGTGATACTCTTGTATACTCAGGTTATTAACATTAGCAATATTACTTCTGGATCTCAAGACTAGCCAATCTCCATTTTTTAACATGCAACGAAAGTGCAGTTAAAAGAAATGCAACCATCTTACCAGCAGTATGACCCCTTTTAGGATGAGCTTAGATTCTACACCCACATTGAGGAGCTCAAGGCATAGCTTGTCAAACTTTTCAGGAGTAAGCTTATTTAGTATGCTAAAGAGGAGCAAACAAAAAAATTTACATTACAGATATTATCAGCATGCTACAAACACTAGACTGAAGCTTAGTTTTATTTCTTCAGTCTATGTAAGACATTGTAGTGCAGTTCCCCCCCCCCCCCCCCTTTTTTTAGATATGATATCTTTATAGTGTAAAGTATTACTAAAAAGACTAATCCTCTCAAGATTTACTTCACACGTGTTTGCTGCTGGGTGGCCTATTAAATTCTGCCTTCTTCTTTCCAAAGAAGACCACATACTCACCCCACACCCACCCCAGAACTCAAGACTCGGACGTCTTCCTTTAAACCAGCCCATTGATTAGATGTATACTGCTAAGGAAAAGAGTTAGAACAATAATCTTAGGGAACTTACCCTCTTACTTTCCTGAAGATTGCATCATGTCGTTCTTTGTCATTTGCGGAGTCGTCATCTCGTCTAGTGCTTCGTGAAGGAATCCATTTCTGAGCGTTTTGCCCTGGGGTTTTCCCCAGGAACTCGCTGTGAAATTTTTAATATGATTGTCAAACAAAAACAATTTGAAGAACTGGCTTTCTAGTCTTTCAATATTGCTTTACTCTAATTCCATTGCTAGCTTTGTTAAGAGCATGCACTTACAAATACTGCAACATCTGCTGCATAGTATTGCCTCAACAACAATAATAAACCACAGAAAACCCTCTAAAGTGAAATGCATGGAAAAGCCTCAGCACCTGGTATCACTCATGACACACACTTTCAACAGATGTTATCCTGCCACAGACTACAGAACATTAAGACGTCATGTAGTCCTTAGATATTCCCCGTAGAACTCTGAAAAGACTTAATTTTCAACTCAGCATTCACCATCAAGCAGTCTCTGCTTTTAAAATCATGCCAAATCAAAAAGCAAGATGATATACCTGTTGCTGGCAGTCTTGGGATAGTGCTGAGGTGCACCCCTACCACCTCCTCCGCCTGAAGAAGCACTGTTAAAAGCCACCATGAAATCTTGCATGAGTTCATATTACCAAAGTTTTCAATTACATGTCACTTTCAGTATAAACCTAAGATAAATTTAAATTCTCCCCAAATAACAGTGCCCACTACTAAGTGTCCTCAAACAAAACAAAAATGCACTAGTACCTGAAACGAGAAGCACCCCCTTCTGCAATCGCACTCTCCACTTTGGCGGCTTGACAACGAAGAAACTTCAAAAGAATAAAATTAAATTGACGGGGTGGGGAAAAACAAAACCTAGAAAGACAAATCAAGCGTTTATATTATAGCTGTTTTACCACCATCCATAATATCGACCTTACAATAAAAATACAAACTTAGAGAAGCAGAGCCCTCAAAGCACTAAGCTTCACAAAACGCATAAAGCTCTTGCTTGTGCGGTACTTGCGATATTCACAGAAAGGCCAGTTTCATCATTACAGCCATGTTCACCAACGAGGGTGAGGGCGCAGAGCTAATGGACTCACAGACTGAGAAAGTAAGTGCCTCGAATTCACCCTGTCAACCCCCCAAAGGCACTTGCAGAAAAGAACTAAAGTGGGGTGTTTTTTTTTTTTCCCTTGCTAGTACAATTAAATGAATCCTTTATTGCCATGCTTTACAAACTGACTGTGGCATCACGAAGTAGTCAATTTTCAAAGTGAGAAGTTCCAGACCACAAAATACACACTATAGATAGCAAGAGCGATGCATTCTACACCCAAGTCCAAATGGCCGATTATGTCACTAAATAATGAAAAAAATATTACCCCTCCCCACGTCAGATTTCAGCTTGCAAGACAGCAGCAGGCATCAAACTTTCACTGCCCTGGTCACGCTGCAGAAAGCGAGTCACGGGGATAGAAACTCCCGAGAATCACATAAAAAAATCCCACAGGCATTTTCAGCCTCCATCCCAGATCTGCTCCGACACACTATACACCGAACACAGAGTCATCTCCTCGAAAAACCTGCCGGAGAAACCGCCCGCGCGAGCACGAGGGACGGCTCTCAACATGGCGGCCACCGAACAAAAGGGCTGCGGGAGCGGGAAGAGCGCCCCCCGCAGGAGGCAGTCGCCTCGCTGCCGCATGGAACTGGCGGCTCCGGGCGCACCGAGCCGCCCCCCCCCTTCCCCCACCAGGCGCCGCCCGTTCCCCGGCTCAGGCGCCGTCAGGAGCCCAGCCGGCTCTTTGTTCTCCGCGAAGGAGGGGAGCGGGCTCAGCTCGCCCGCCACTGGCGGCACCCGCCTCGGTCAGCCCGGAAAAAGGAGGGGAAGGCAGCAGCCGGTATCGCCCCCCCCGCATCACCACCCCCGCTCAAGCAGCGCCTTTACGTTACTCGCCGCCTAAGTCTGAACAGGAAACATGGGCGAGGCTGCTGCCGGCAGACACGGCTTCTCCAGTAGTCTGCTTTCCCACCAACGAGAAACACAAACACAAGTAAATAAAAAGTAAATATATATATATAAAAATATATATATTCTTTCACCACCGGCTCTTGCATACGAACTTGCTCCTCCGCAGTCCCCTCTTCCCCCAACACCTACTCTGAAAGGTCTTAAGACGGCAGCCAGCTACTCAGCTACCCCCCTTCAAGGGCAAACCGCTCGGGCACCGGTACCGCCGAAGACCTCAGCCAGGGACTAGGATGGGGCAACTGATCCGATCCCCCGAAAAGCAGAGCTTCCAACTGGCATGCCACGACCCGACCCCACCTCTGCCGCTGCAAATATACAGGCTCCAACCTTAAACGTTTCGACTCAGCTTCCCCTCCGCACTTAGCGAGGGCTGCCGATCTTCTTTACATTTTCGCTTAGCACCCGCGGTAACCCAACGGTGGCAAGCACAAGCGCCCACCAACCCAAGCCGCCATTTTGTGCGGAAGAAAGCGAGAAGAAGCCGGCGAGAAAATGGCGGCCGCTTAGGGCAGCCGCCATTTTAAGCGGCAGCTGCAACAGTACCCGTCCCCTCCCGGCCCCAGATGATTCTTCCACTCGCGCATTTCTCACCTTCTCTAAGGCCTTGTCAGCTTCCCCGGGTCCCGGCGGCTACCAAGGGCAGGGGAAAAGGCAAGAGAGGGGGGGGAGGGGAAGGGAGCCGGGGACCGGGGCTGGGGAGGGGAAGGGGGGAGCGCGCGAGACAGGGCGAGCCTCCGAGTCACCACAGCAGGAGCAGCAACAGCACAACGCTTCCCTCTACCACCTCCATAGAGAGCCGGCTCGCTGCCGCGTCTAAGGCGCACTGAGCCAGCCCCACTAACTTTATTACCGTTCACGCAACCTACCCCACCTTCCTCTACCACGCACCAATCGCCGCTAAGGGCTCCGCCCGTCTTGCCAATCAGAACCGAGAGAGGGGGTGGCCTTAACGCCCAAATGGGCAGAGGAGGAAGGAAGTTTGGTTGAACTGTACCGTCGCCGCAGTGCAGCATCCGTATTCGTGAAAGCCATTACGCCACGTTGTTGGCGACAGGGTCTAGAAGGGAAGGGAAACTTGCGCAAGTGGCGTAGCCGCTTAATGGCGGCAGCTTGGATGCGTCTTGCATTTGCTGTTAGGTCGTGTGCTTCAGCCGTCAGAGAGCCCCACTTTTAGAGGCCTAGAGTGTGAGTTACAGTTCTGTCACGTTCACAGAAGGCTAGTTTAATATATATCTATTCTGAGAAGTTTTTTTTGGCTTGGGGTTTGGTTTTGGTTTGGTTTTGTTTTGTGGTTTTTTTTTTTAATTGTAAATTTATTTAAGCTTAGGTTTTCCCTCAGTCAGACCACATTTCAAATTTGGTCGAGGTAAGAATTTAGCGGATTGTCGACTATAGTCCTGAGCTTGCAATCAGATCCAAAGGAGGAGACTTGCCATTTGAGATCTTAGAGCCTGTCGATATGGATCCAATTTCAGGTTTGCTTTCTGGATTTGGAAACTATTTCTATCTCTGCATGTGCTTTTGGCTGGTAATTGGCCTGTCCATGGCAGGGCATCCTGCAGGCAACTCGTGGACAACCAGGATTCTGTAGAGTCATTTTTATGTATTTATCATGCTAAACATGCAGCTGGTGGGATTTTTTTTGGTCTTGCTCAGTGAAAACAAAGATGGCCAGGCTTTATGCTATAGGTATAAGCTTGAGTCTTGGGAGATTTCCAGAGATTTCTCAATGTGAGGTTTTATTCTTTTAACAGTAAGGTCTCAGTTCTAGATTGTCAGTGAGGTAGCGGCTACCTGGACTTGCCAAAGATTCAGACTTACTTGCCCTAGATGGGGCAGGACAGAAAACAAGAGTTAAGTAAACCTTGCAACAAACTTCACAAACATCCACATCTGCTTTGTTCTCACACATGCCTTCCGCTTTTGGTTTGTATGACTCATAATTCAGATGACTGGGAGAAAGTGATCCAGGTAGTAACTCTTGAACCATATACACAGTAAGTCCAAACAAACGATATTGCAGAACTTGAACTTCCCAGAGCCAGCCTTATTCCTAATGCTTTCAGCACACTGTGCCACAATGTCCCAAGGATTATATAAGACCTAAAGGGTGCTGTCATGCAGGAGTTCTTGTGTTGCATCTTATCTGGGGTGAAGGTTGTTCAAGGTAGGTTTCCATATCGCATACCCATAAGCGTTAAGGACAGTTTACTTATCAGATTATGTTACAGGAAATCTTGAATAAACTACCTGAAAGTAAGTTTTGAGCATGTATATGTTGCATAAGGGTGAACATAACTCTGACAGGTACTTGTCATACCAGAATTTTTATGTAATGACGCTTTCCTGCATTTAACCATAGTCATATTACTGCAAAAGCTTGGACCTTGGATGTGAATCTGCAAGAACAGAACTGTCTGGGTATCAGTCGAAATCAGTGGAATCTGGTTTGAAAGATGGGGTCAGTAGGCACAGAGAAAGCAGCAAAGTCAAGATTTAAACCAATATTAAACCCGGTTAATATTATTGAACAAAACATTCTCAGTGTAATAAATTAGTAAAAATACTTGTAAATCTTAAAACCAGAAGTGACAGTAAGGATTTTGTTTTGCACTGGATTGCAGAGTAATCTCATAAAGTATTTCCAGCATAAGCATTCCAACACTGTTTGAGTTAGAGACCCCATGAGTGAAAATCAAGGAGAATTTATCTTTTTTTTTTTTTTTCGTGGGGTGGGTGGGAGGGGACATGAGAGAATAGAAAACCTGCAAAACATGGTAGGTACATATTGACAGACCAGAGTACCATCTTCTTTGTTTGAAAGCATACTATAAAATACTTATTACCATAACAACAGAAACAACCACCAACATTTGTTCAATAAGAGAATAGCAGCAAATGATCACTGTTTTCTTAAAACTGTGATTGTTTTTTTAGGACTCAGTCCTGCATCAGCAGGATATATGCTGTTCTGCATCTCACACTGACTTTGGCATGTGGGAGCCTAAGAAGCTTCAGTGCTTGGCTTCACATAGCTTTCCTGCACATCTGTGTCATGCTTTGTCAGCCTCAGACCGGCTGTACTAGTACAATTGATGAAGGCAATGATCTGTAGTATAGAGGTAAAAAAAGATTGTGAAATAACTTCTATTTTATACATTTCGCCTGCTTTTTATATTCCATGAACTAATGTGGAAGACACCATTATTCATGTCTGAAAATGCAGCAGCCCAATTGTTCATATGATTATTCAGTAACAAATTTACCTAAAGAATCTTATTCAATGTCTCCTTGATTTATAAAATAATTAAAAAAATCAGCAAATGGCATTTAATAGCTGTCAGTTTCAGTATCACTTTGCATCCATCCGTCACCTTAGTGTCCACTCCCTCTTTTTCCCCTTTCTTCTAGTTGCCCTGAACACCAGTGATGCTTTAATTCAAATAAGGTGTTTTACAACTGACATAGTGGTAGTTCTGGATTTGTTTCTACAAGTCTGAACTTGCAGAATCTAAGCATAATTCCAACTTGATTGCACTGCCACTGGTTATTTGGAGGACAAAGGTTGTCTGTGAAGTGTCGTGAGGAACCTGCTGTGTTGCAGACTGTGTGGCACAGATGTAGGAGCTGCTGGCACAGATGCAGGAGTTGCTACCACAGATGCAGCCTCTGTCTGAGAGGAAGAGGAATATCTCTTGCAGTGCATATGGCATTGCTCAGAACCAGAACTGGCTCCTGTCATCTACCAAAACAAGCCGTAAAATTTGGGAAAAGAGCTTTGCAGAACTGGGAATTTTTCGTTACTATTGCCAAGCTGGAATCGCCATAACTTTTCCTGTGTAGTATTTTGCATTGGAGTGGTTGCAAAGCTGAGCCCTGCTGGGTGGAGACTCCAGACAGAGTGCTGATGACAGGGTAGCTGTAGCAGTGGCACTGTACCATCTCCAGTAAATACTTCATCTCATCACTGTACTGGTTGTGGATCTTGCTAGGTTGGGTTTTATGCAGAGCACCCAGTTGATGTAGTGTAGACCTGCATATAATGTGAACCAATCTGGGGTAATTCACTGAAAGTTCACACCCTAGTTTACTCCATGCTAATTTCTCCAACATAAACACTTTCTGCACCTTCTTACTTTCCAGATAATTTTTCTGCCTGCCTTTCTGAGTGAGCCTAATTTTTTTCCAAAGCCATGCATATATAGTTCCTGACCCACCTCATGAATGAAGCAGACATGAACATTTAACCAAATGTGTGCATACAGTTTTTTTCGCTGTGATAGAAGTCTGTCTCAAGGAGATCTGTTCTGTAGAAAAAAGGCTTGGGGACAGATGGGGGGGGGAGGACGATGACACAATAAAAAACCCAAACTAAAAAACACACCTATATTTGCCACTTAAACAGGTTTTTTGGCACTTCTACTGAAGCAGAATGCTGTTAGTGAAAACCCCATTTATACTGTGCAGATGCAGAAAATCTGTGGAGTTTTAGTGTGGCTGATTTAACAATGCTCACTGAGGCAAGAGCGTGTCAACCCTTCAGAACAGTGGTGTACTTCTAACTGTCTGGGAGGTCACTTCTCTTTTTCCCTTTCTTTGGAAGATCCTTTGTAGATTTCAGTGAGTCTTCTGTGTAATGAAACCCATGGTTTTGCTTTCATCCGTTTGTCTTCTGAAATGCTTTTGCCTACAGCTTAACTCGGGACCTGGATTTCCTGCTGCTCAGAACCAGTCCTTCACCAGATACATTAAATAAATTTTATTCTCTATTTAAGACCCTTGTCCTGGTTTCAGCTGGATTTCTTAACAATTAGTCTGCAGTTACAGTTGCACAGGACTCTTATGGTGGTTTTTTTTCAGAAAGCTGGAAAGATATTTGGGGTGTGACTTTATAGTCAGCCAGTGAAAACTGCCTAGAATATTCAGGTGTCAGAGATACTGATACTTGATCAGTACATGTTTATACAGGCAGCTAGTGAGACAGTGCTCACAGCTTGCTTTGCTTTCAGAGTCTTACTTAGTTAATATTTTTAGCTAATACAATTATGTTAATGCATAATAATACTATCTTTCAAAGAGGAAGATTGCATATGTATTACCAGAGTGGTTTAGGGAATAAAAAAACCCCAACCCTAAACCAAAATCCCACAAAAAACAAATACGCCTCCAAAACCCACAAAAACCCGCAAACCCAACAGTGGCTGTCTTCTCAGCAGGTTTAATTCAGTGGAACATGTAAACTGCAAAAGTTCTACATTCTCCAGTCTTCTAAAATGACAGATTTGTTCATATTCTTTAGCATCAAGAGAGTGAGTGTGCTGTACTGCAGTGTTCTGTTTCTGACATTGGTTAGCACCAGATTTACAGTAAAGTGAGAAAGCTTTAAAATTTATCATTTTCATTATTTGCCAAGGGAAGAGCTTTTCTGTCTCCTAACCACTGCCAGTTCATGTTTGAGTTACCTTAAAGCATATTTTATAGTTAGTAGTATTTCATTTTTCTATGTTGATATCCAATTTTGGCACCCATTGGGGCTTACCAGTATCACATCTTTGTGAGTTCTGTGGTTTAATTGTGCAGTGTTTAAGCAGTGATAATCCTATCAGTTTTAAAAAGTATTGGCTTGATTCCACTGTAACCTGCCTGCTTAAGTGGTTTTGTGGCAGTCATCTTCTATATGAAATATTTATCATATTCATAAACATCTGCTGGAGCTAAACACAAATTACAGTTGATTGAGTTGGAAGAGCATCAGTGTCCTATAGCTGCATTGCATTACTTTATACAAATAGATTGTTGATGAAATCAGAAACATGGATAGGAATATTACAGTTATTAAAATGATGCACTTAGTATTATCAAAATAATTTCATATTACCTTTTCATGGCAGAAAATGTTGTGTCATGGTTTGTGTGTGTGTAAAACACTAGGAATATACCACAGAACATGTATATACTTTTAGTTGCTTGTAGAAAAGCATAGTGAGCTACTCCTTGCTGTTTACGCATGGGCAGAGATGTGATGTGTCTTCTCACAATTTAAAATACATTCACACATAACAGTTAGCAATGGTTGCTATTAATACGATTTCTGTTAATGACAAAGGATAGCATTAATACTCCTGTTAGGTTTCTGTAAGGGCCAGATTTTCTGTTATTTAGGGATCAAAAGTGCACTTGAGCTTCAGAAGGGTGAGGAAGAGCTGCTTAGCATTTTCAGCCATCAAGAGGAAGCAAAAATACAGGGAAGTCAGGTAAATAGTAAATCCAGGTTAACCTTTTGGAAGTCAGTGAAGTCCGTGTGTTTTCCCTTGTTAACTGCCTGAAAAATTAAAAACCTTTCCTTAATATGAAAAGATGATTGCTTGTACATATGAGTATGTTATTACAAACCTGTATTTTTAAATTAGATTGTGATAAACAGGTTTTTCATTGTTTGACCTATTTATTAAATCCAGTTTACTTAGTGTGTTAAAATTGTTTTAAATTTCTGTAGATTATTTTTATATTGTCATTATTTGCAAGTTTAGGACACCTCTCCTGTGAGCAAAGGCTGAGAGAGTTGGGGTTGTTCAGCCTGGAGAAGAAAAGGCTCCAAGAGGCTTCACTGTAGCCTTTCAGTCCTTAAAGGTGGATTATAAGAAAGATGGAGACAGACTTTTTAATAGGGTCTGTAGCAACAGGACAGAAGGTAAGGATTTTAAACTAAAAGAGAAGAGACTCAGCCTCTAAGGAAGATAATAATTTATTTTTTTATTTTATTTATTTATTTTAACAGGAGGTGGGTGATAAGACACTGGCACAGGTTGCCCAGAGAAGCTGTGGCTGCCCCATCCCTGCAAACATTGAAAGCCAGGTTGGATGGAGCTTTGAGCAACCTGCTCTTGTTGAAGATATCCCTGCTCATTGCAGGGTGTTTGGGCTAGGTGGCCTTTAAATGTCTCTTCCAACCTAGCCCATTCTATGACAATGTTAAATCTGAAGTTTAACCTTTCAGGCTTATCATTTACATGCTGTGTGTCAAGCAGAAGTCCCACATACACTGAATCCCAGGTTAACACATCTGCCCACACACGTGTTTGTTTTAGATGTAAATAGCTGAATCCCTAGATTGAGATGATACTGGGTTGAATTATAGCATTTTCTAGAGATTAAGTTCCTCGATAATTTCTGGTTTCAGTATTGTTCAGATACTGGGAGAGCTGAGCCTGCTGGAGTTAAAGTATTTAAAGACTGACATAAAAACCACTCTTGAGCTAATCAAAAGCCTTTATTCCTTCTATAGACTCCTACTATTGTATTTCTGGCAAGTGGACCTCTGTTTAGGCCCTAAACAAACACAAAAGGCCATAGCCTTGTAACTACTGACTTAATGTTAATTTTCATAGGGATTAATTTGCCTCAGCATTTTATCCATATCGTATACTTTATTGACTCACTTACTGAATGCAGCAGCTTTCAGAGAATTAGCTGGGAGCAAAGCTATAGGGTGGTTGCTTCAAAGATACAAGAAGTCTATTTTCATCTAGCTCCATTAGAAAATAACAGGTTAATTACAGTTATTTCCTAAACATTGATGGATGAACATTGGTGGAATATCTTAAGAAAAATAGAGTCATTAATTTAAGTTTACAGCCTGTTCTGATTAAAGGAGACAGCTTTGTCCAGCTTTGCAGATTCAAAGCAGTAGGAAACTTCAGTAAGAGTTCAGATTCTTACTCCTCTAAGGGGCTAAAATGCCTAGAGAAGCCAAAACATACAGAAACAGTGTCACAGCTATTCCTGTCAATGGGTATTTCCATTCTCAGTCAGCTTGGTAAAAGCTTTCTGGTGTTCCTTACACTTGTCCTTCTCTTCCTTGGTCCTGATTTGCTTAAGTAATAAATATATTCTTAGCCAGCTCCCCATTCATCTCGCTTCCAGCAAACACATTGTAAATATACTCACATGATGTCTTTTTGACAAACATACAGAATCATGATAGCACAGTGACAAATAGAAAAAGAACAAGGCTGAGAATGTGTCATCAGAACACTCTGGAAGATGAGTCCAAATGCTCAGTTTATGGATTAATTAAAATCAGAACTTGGATTCTTAAGCTGGGTGTCTTAAATTATTAAAACACTTGCTAATAAATTAAAAACAACCCAAGAGTTAAACCAAATTAATTTTGAGCAATAGTAATATCTAGAAATATAGCACGGTTTAACTGGTAATTTAAAAAAACAAAACATAACCAAGAGTACTTTTCCTGTGTATACCTACATAGAAACCAGAGAGAAGAGTCCAAGGACTTAAGCAGTTCACCTGCGATAGGTAAACAAGGGCTGAAGCTCTCTGGCTTTAAAGTGGAGTAAAGCAGCAGCTATATTCTGTGGAGTATTTATAAAACTTTTCTCTATTTTCACTACCCTAAGCTATGTTTCCTAGTTTCACTTTTCATGGCAATTAGAACCTATAAAGGACTGATTTTAGATAGAATATGTACAGGGAAAAATGCCTTTTTTTTTTTTTTTCTTGCAATACTACCATATGCAAGAGGGAAAACAAGTGCTATATTGTTCCTTCAGAAATATGAATGACATAGGCTATGGTGTTTGTGTGTACTCAACCTGGAAAACAGATCATTTGTGCTTTTTTTTTAGCATGAACTTCAATTTTCTTCTATGTTTTTTTGTCTGTTCCCAACTTAAATTATCCTCATAACCAAAAGATACAGCTTCCTTATTTTCATATTTGTGCCTTTCAGTTAATAGTAAAAATTTAATGTGCATTTGTTTCTTTAACAACTGATTTAGACTGGGATCCTTAACCTCTGTATTTTCCTAGTATGTACCATGGATACCATGAATTTCTTGTGTTAGCATTATTTTCAAGGCAATAGATAATTAAAGTTGGTAGGCAACAGGTGTAGTCTCATCAATTGACTAAGATGAGGAAGAACTAGTACAAAACTACATTATATAATGGATAGGAGATTATCTGTCTTCCTACCTGTAATCAGTCAACATGGTACTATTCCTGTTTAACACACAACTGTATTTACAGCTAGTGCATTGCCAGGAGGGTTACTCACAGGAAAGATATCTATTATAAAATGATAGAGTCATAGAATAGTTAGGGTTGGAAAGGACCTTAAGATCATCTAGTTCCAACCCCCCTGCCGTGGGCAGAGACACCTCACGCTAAATCATGTTACCCAAGGCCTCGTCCAACCTGGCCTTGAACACTGCCAGGGATGGAGCATTCACAACTTCCCTGGGCAGTCCATTCCAGTGCCTCACCACCCTCACAGTAAAGAACTTCTTCCTTATATCCAATCTAAACTTCCCCTGTTAAAGTTTTAACCCGTTACCCCTTGTCCTATCACTACAGTCCCTGATGAAGAGTCCCTCCCCAGCATCCCTATAGCTCCCCTTCAGATACTGGAAGGCTGCTATGAGGTCTCCATGCAGCCTTCTCTTCTCCAGGCTGAACAGCCCCAACTTTCTCAGCCTGTCTTCATACGGGAGGTGCTCCAGTCCCCTAATCATCCTCGTGGCCCTCCTCTGGACCTGTTCCAACAGTTCCATGTCCTTTTTATGTTGAGAACACCAGAACTGCACACAATACTCCAAGTGAGGTCTCACGAGAGCAGAGTGGAGGGGCAGGATCAACTCCTTCGACCTGCTGGTCACGCTCCTTTTGATGCAGCCCAGGATACGGTTGGCTTTCTGGGCTGCGAGTGCATACTGAAGCCGGCTCATGTTCATTTTCTCATCAACCAACACCCCCAAGTCCTTCTCCGCAGGGCTGCTCTGAATCTCTTCTCTGCCCAACCTGTAGCTGTGCCTGGGATTGGTCCGACCCAGCTGTAGGACCTTGCACTTGGCATGCTTAAACTTCATGAGGTTGGCATCAGCCCACCTCACAAGCATGTCAAGGTCCCTCTGCATGGCATTCCTTCCCTCCAGCGTATCAACTGAACCACACAGCTTGGTGTCATTGGCAAACTTGCTGAGGGCGCACTCAATCCCACTGTCCATGTCAGCGACAAAGGTGTTGAACAAGATCGGTCCCAACACCGATCCCTGAGGAACACCACTCGTTACTGGTCTAACAAGTAACTTTTTTTTTTTTTTAAAGAGGACTGCACATAAATGTACTTGCAGTTGCTTTGCACTCCAAATTATTAACAGCAGTACAGCATGAAGAGTCAAGGCAAATAAAGGTGCCAAGAGCAGATACACTCCATTTGAATTGACTGGAAGTGAACTTTGGGTGCAGAGTGCTATCCTCTCACTGTTTTTTCTTTATGGTTAGCAAAAGTTGCAAAACAGTAGAAGCCAAGTTACAGAAGACAGATTTTATCTGTAGCAAGTTTCATCCTGCCCAAATTGTGTCATAAATGTTACAGAAACATCATATAGAATATAGACAAAACCCCAACTCACGTGAGCACGTGTTCTACCTTCTGGCAGCTATGTTTTGGATACTTCTGAAGTCCTTTCTCTCCTCTTATCAAAGTTGAATAAACCCCATAAACCTTTGAGTATAATCTTACCTAGTTTCAGTGCAGCCTCTTTAACCTACCTGGAGCACCTGTGTGAAATCAGGAGAGGAAATTTAACTATACTTGCTGGAGATTGTTGTCATTCCTCAATGGAAATAAGAACAAAAAGTCTTTTAAAAGAAGTTGTAATTCACGTTCAGGTCCAGTGACTGCCTGGATTGACAGAAATTCTGAGTAGGATAAAGCATTTGAAGACCTGATACTTGTGTCGCTGATATACTAAACTCATTAGTGACTTCCTCTATTCTGGTAGTGGTCTCTTTCCTTAAATCTTTGAGGGACAGATGTTTTTTCACAAGCTACAAGCCTTTATCAAGATCTAGGATATTTCAGCAGAGAGCGCATCCTAGTTAGTATGGGAAAATTTGATCAATTATTGCTCCTTTATTCAAACTGCTTTTCCATTGATTTCCATGTTTTAGGCAGAAAGAATCTAAAAGAAGTCTTTAGGCTTCTTTTAAAAATGCAGTCATTATGGTACTTAAATTTTCAGATATGAGTTAATATCAAGAATATTGCATGTTTATTATATCAGTGAAATGTAATCTTCCCCCCACCCCCCAATCCCTGTAAATATTACTAAGAAGCATTTGTTGTTTTCTTTGGGGTTTAGCCAGCTTTTATTAAGAAAAAAAAACTTTCAGTATTTATACCCTAGGCCAGCAAGATCTCAGAATCGGTGAACCTGAGGACTCAAAAGAAGCTTTTGCATGTACAATTTTACTGCGAAATATCAAAAAAACCTGCTGTCAGAAGTCTCACTCCTCAGTCTTGCTAGAGCTGATCTTAAAAGTGTTGGCATTAATGTTTCAAACAGTTTGTTCTTTTACAAGGTGCAAGAACTTATGACTTCTACTGTCCCCTCTCTGAATTGCTGTCACTGAACTCATGAAGGAAAATCACTACTAATGCAACTGGGGCTGCCTAGAAAAAAAAAAAGAACTGAGAACACTGTTGGCCTCCTTTTGATGTCAGTTGATGATCTAGCTTCATGATGGCATCTCTTCATGGTGTTACAACCTATTGCAGATAACAACTGTAATTAACTGTAATCTAAAAAATTACGGTCAGACTACTGTAATACTGATTTTTGCTTTCATGGACTGTTTTTTTAAGAGGGAAGAATTCAAAGGGGTTTGCTTAAAGGACAACATCTTGCCTCATACCTTGCTAAGAGGACAATAAACACAAAAAGTGGGATGTGAATTTCCTACTTAGAGTGAGAAAGTACAACACTTGCTTTATCTCAATTTTAAGTCTGCTTGCTTAGACAATGAGTGTAAATTTCCAAATCTGTAGATAAAAGTATATAGGATATGCTTGCTCCAAAATGTTGTTTTTTTTTTTGTTACTCGGTTGCAGAATTTATGCAGGCCTTATAATCACTAATTTTTTTTTAAAGAAATTTTAGACACTGAAAGCAAGGTCTGTAGTTTGGGTGGTAAAAGACAATAAGACTACCTGAAGTGATATACACCATATTGACATCTAATTGAAGAAACAGTGGCATTACTACCTTGCTTATGATACTGTGAGTAGGTAGAAGATATGGTGCATTTAGCTTGATAACCTTTGCTATTAAGCCAGACTAAAAAATGTTTTGGTATATATGTGTATAAATACATATAAATGTGTAATATGATAACAGGTTTCGGTTTGTGGGTAGTTTTTTTGTGTTTTTTTTCTTTTTTTTATTTACTAATTGTTGGTGTATAATTTAGAAAATAGATAGGGAAGAGTAGTCACACTTCATACAAGGGGTGTATACATGCTAACCAGGGCATTTCCTTTTCACATTTTCCGCACTTGAGTAATCATAAGTAACCAGGATTACTGGATCTTGGTTGGGAAGATGAAGCATTTTTACTTCTCATGCAGTGTGAATCATCGAAAAATGTCAAGTGCAGAATAGCCTGTTACTGTCACAGTACACCAAGAAACAGTGTTTTGTACATTGGCAACATAAATTGTTTGCAAGTGCTAGTATTGTAAGTAAATATGTTCATAAACACCAGTTCCTTTCAATTAATTTTACAAATTAGACATGATCTTTTGCTATGTAATTGTCAGCAGATCTTTGAATATTGTTTAAGCTAATAGTGATGTGGAAATAGGAAAGTGGGGTCGACAGTGAAGTGGGGTAGACGGAACTCAATTCACAATTCACTGAGTTCTAACTCAGTATGTTAAATTCCTTGGGACTTTTCAAAAGAGATAAAAAAATAAGGAGTGAAGAGCAGAGCTCAATTACAGGTGTGAATTGCAGACCCATTAATAACTTAAGCTATTATTTCTTATAAGAAAAAAGTGAAAGTTGGAATCTCTACTTACAGTGTGAGGATAGCTGCAAAGATCGCCACAATGCCTCAGATAAATAAACTAATTACTTCCACCTTGGGGGATTTTTATTCAAGTTTTTCTATTTCAGAAACTCTGAAATCACTGTTTATACCACGGAATGTTTATGAAACTTGTGAGAATAAACAAGAGATCAGAACCAACTCTGTGTCCCTACTCCCTCTCCAATGAGATGATTTTTTTTATGTTGAGCATGTGGATTTCCTTAGTGCCAGATTGTTGTGGGGATCTGTGAGAGAGATGAGAAGAGATGGTTGATTGCATGTTTTTGTACAGTCTCAAAATGGCAGATGCATGTAGAAAGGGCTAGGAACAATGCTTTTCATCCCAGACCATCTATTCTTTTTTGGCAGATCTCCATAAACAGCAAGTGTCTGCTAAGGGGTGTGTGCAAGTAAGTATTATTGTCTCTTAGCTTTTTTAACATATAGATGGCAGGAGCATAAATGAGTCAATTATTAGAAACCTATAAATTACTATTACATAAAAGGTACTGTAATGAAACATTAATGAATTTGCATCTCAGTAAATTAACTGTGGAGTTCCTCTAGATTTATGCTGGTGTATCGGGACACTTGACAGAAATTTTATGTGTTTCTCCCAAGCAGATGGAATACTGTTGATAGATCTAATAGAAACAGGTCTTGGGAGGTACTCTTTTAAAGGCTTTGTTAAAGAAGATTTTTAAAAAAGATTGGAAATACCAGAAAGAGGAGTCATGTGTCTTGTTTCAAGTTTAAATAACGCATGAATAGTGCATTACAAGTCCACACTGCTTATAATGCTGGAATACTATCCAGCAGCCTCTTGTTTTCTCAGTTTTAATGCAGATTAATCTATTTAAATTTAGATTGTAAGGGACAAAAATCAATGTCAGTACTGCTCAAAAAAATGAAGTACTTCCAGTGTGTTGGACTTGCAGTATGCTGCCTATCCTTGGCTTGTGACCTTCCTGTTCTACCTCTGAAGTACTGAGAGAAAAATGTTTGTAATATTGAAAGAACTGAGAGAAGAGACCGTATAAATGTTTTAAAAGGCATCAGTGTGATTTTAAAGCTCTCCATAACAAATAAAACACAAGTGTGGATTTTTGCCTCTTCACCAGTATAGTAAGTCATCTGACTTTCCATTAGTATCGTGCTGTGTTTTCCAAGAAGAGAAATGCCATCATGTTCACAGAGTGCAATCAAAAAAAATCTTTCTCCAGCTTCCAAACACTATTGAGGGGGCTGGACAAAGTTAAAGACAGCAGTTCGAAAGCCAGATCTGTTAGCCAAGATGGAATTAGACTTTTTGCTAAAAGAAAAATAACAATGAAAAATACAGACAGAGTGAACAGATTGAGGCTTTCTTTAATTTAGATACTGTAGTTTCTTCCTGTCACGTATTTTCTGAATAGATTCCACTGGACAGATTTGTAAGGTTTTTTGTTTTTTGTTTTTTTTTCCTGCCCTAGCATTTCCCTTTTTTCAATAGCCTTATGTTCCTTTTTGTATGATGCATTAGATACATGAAATAACTCTATTCCATTTTCTAATCTGTATTTGTTAGCTTTCAGGAGTCAGATCTTATTGCTAGGCAACTAAACAAGAAGGCTCCATCTCTGTATTAAGCAGTTTGCTGTATCCATATCTGACCCTATGGTTATCTATACATACATCTGTAAAATTACCTAAGTGCAGCTGTAAACACCAAATATAAACACGCTGCATATATTACGCATATTGAATTTATCTTGAAACTGAGTTTTTAGTAGCCAAAATAGCTTGGAAAAAGACATGGGTTTTTACCTCTCTGTTTTTAGATATATTTCCTTCATATGCAGCTAGCTGTAAGGGCACTCTTAGTGCTGAAAATTATTTTGTATTTAGGCTATTAAAAGAAGAGCTATTTATATATTAACCACTACCATCTCTATCTTCTTACATCAGGATACCTCCATATTTTTATTAATGTCTCTGTAAGATTTTGATTACTGTAATTCTCTTTTTGCAGGTTTTCGAAAGCAACTATGAGACTGAGGAGTTAGTTAGAAAACCCAACAGCAGGGCTTCAGAAGATTGTACAGGCAGCAGCCTCTCTGAAGTTTTAAGAAAGCCTGTACATTTAATATTTTAATGAGTTTATATCTGTTATCTTGGTGCTTGATTGTATTTCCAGTGCCATCCAGCTTATTTTGTTGATCTTCTGATAAGATGTTCTCAATAACATTATAGCCTTATTACTAAGGACTTAGTCTTCTTTTCATCAACATCATTTTTGTAGCTAGAGAATCACTGTTCTGCCATGGAGAAAAAGGCTTCTGATGTCACAGATTGGCATGACCTTTTTAAAAAAAACTTTTATATTGATTTTTAACTACTTCATGTCATGTTTTCAACATGTATATTCATATGTGTGATGTCCGAGTCTCACTTTTAAAATTGTATAATTAAAGTCAGAAAGGATGTGTGGAGGTGATCTCATTCACAGTCCTGTACAAGGCATGCTTAATCTCAGAGATGCAGGGCCTTCTCCTGTTCGATTTTTGAAAATCTCCACAGATGAAGTCTGCGCAGCCCCTCCAGGACTTTTTTCCTTGTGCCTTTTGTTCTTTCCCTTTGCACCTCTGGAGATTCTGCTTTTGTCTTCTCTAACTGCTCCCCAGGTGGCAGTAAACTGCATTTGGGTTCCTTGCAGGTTCTTTTTGTGTGTCTTTTTTTTTTTGTTGTTTTTTTTTGTTGTTTGTTTGTTTTGTTTTGTTTTTTTTTTTTTACTTGCTAAATAAACCCATTTCTCTTAGTCTTGTCTCATGTAATGTGCTGCAGTCCCCTCGACATTGGAGGAGGCTGCCTCTGCACTCTTTCCAATTTGTCTTCCTTTCTTCTGAGTGCCAAAACTGGACACAATATTCCAGTAAGAGTATTCTAGATGTGGCCTCACAAGTGCTGATTAAAGGGAAGTAATGGCTTCCCCCAGTATGCTAAGTTATGCTTGTGCTAAAGAGGTTGGGTATGTGATTTGCCATCATCACTGTGGAAGAGCATTGCTGACTCACATTCAAAACGCTCCCCTGTTCTGTACTGTCGTTTAGAAGCTCCAGTCTCTGCCAGGGCCTCAGTGTGCTTGGATCCACACGAACACTGTGATGAAACCAAGGTGATGGAGAGGTGAATCTTAACAGGCGCTGCTTAGGCATGCTACTGTCACCACCCCTTAGTTGAGCACCTGATTTAGCTGGCTGAATTACATGGCCAGTTTTCTAAGAAAAAGCGTTGGAGAGAACAGGAGCCTTCCAATACCCTGTTCTGTGTTTTGAATTACACTTTAAACCAACTTCTGATCTTCAGGTATCTGCAGAAGAAGCTCTTTTTTATTCTGACTGGCTCATCTAGGCACACTTAGAGTTGGTTAGTATAAATAAAGGAACTGAACTGATCCATTTTCAGTGCTAATTTTGGTTCAGCTGTGATTAAAGTTGTTCCCCTGTCCTTCCTGTTCCGATCAGAAATAGATGGGTAACTGACTCATGTTAGAAAATATAGCATTTATAAATAGAAATGATCGCATGCTGTGGGTGATCCCATGGAATGGGGCTTCAGGTGGAGGTAGGGTTTAAACCTTTTTTTCTGCTTTGCTGTCATAGCACCACTATTATTTGCATTTTCCACACAGCACCACTGCTTTTCTCACCTCTTCAATCTCACTCGCTGTGTTTAGGAACTGAGGCAATCTGGCAAGTACCGTTGAGGAGAGGTGGGAAAACTGTAGGTCTGCACTATACTTAGTACTTAGTAGTGTTGTCAGCTGTGCTAAGGATGTGGGAGATTAGAAGGGAGATGCTGAAGCCCTCTCAGTTTTCCTCTACTGGCAGTCTGCGCAGACTCAGGTGTTTGTACTGGAGAGACATTGTTACTGTTCCTGAGTGGAGGAAAACACAGGCTGGTGGGGCCAAGTGTTCTGGTGGCAGTGACAGCACAGTTTCTCAGGCTAGTCCATGTGACAGTTTGTGGTCATCAGTTGCAAGAGTGCATAAAGAAGGCAAAGGGCACAGAACACGTGGAGAGTAAGTTTCTCTTTCAATTTCTTCAGGGAAGAGAGTGCTTCTGAAGAGGAAATTTCACTATTACATAGGACTGCAGCAATTAGCCTTTTGTTGAGCTGCAAAACATAATATTGGTTGTGGTAATGTACATCTCTGATGTAAACTAAACAAACGCAGGTGTATTCTATATAAGACATCAAATATCTTTCAGATTAAAGAGAGGTTTGCATCCTCCATTTAGGAATCCACTAGCTGCCCAATATCCACAAAATGAGGTTATTATATTTCATATTGTTCAGTTATAAATTTAAATCTCATGTGCCTACATCCAACCAGGCTGCATCTACTATAAATATTATTATTGATACAATATTATACACTGGCTATTTTATCTTACTGATTCTAGCTAGTCTTTTTTTTTTTCTCCCTTGTAATATCAGATTTCTGTTGCAGAGTAGTTATTTCTAAGATGTTACAGTTGAATGCATGAAAACAATACACTACTAAATAGTTACATATAACACCTCCGATGTTAATAATATATTTTATACATAACCCCCCCTATATTTTTGTGAGTATAGCTTGGTTTCACTAAAAAAAAGCCTGTTGGTTTTGTTTTCTTAACAATTTTCTTAACTACATCACCTTATCTATAGATCATAAAAACTTATATCTACATTTTCTGTGAACTAAGATTTTGTGAAAATATAATAGGAACAGGATTCCTAGAGAGGTGGTTGATGCCCCCCGCCTGTCAGTGTTAAGGACAATGCCCTTAATATCATGCTTTAACATTTGATCAGCCCTGAACTGGTCAGGCAGTTGGACTAGATAATCATTGTAAGTCCCTTCCAATCGAAATGTGCTGTTCTGTTCTTTTCATACATTTATTTTACAGCTTGAGAGAAAAATGTATGTTACTTTCAAAAAACACTTCAATCTTCTAATAGAGCTTGTTCATCCACCCTCCTCAGCCTTTCCATGATGGTGCTTCAGAAATAGCAAAACTCACCTCAGTCATGACTTCACACCCAGACTAAATAAGTGCATCTTATTAATCTGTCAGATTTCTTAGTTCTCTCTCAGTGACATAGCTGTGATTTCCAAACTTCCCTTTTTTTTTTTTTTTTTTTAATACGGTACTTCAATGGAGACATGAATCTGTTTCTGTTTGACGCAAAATATTCTGAAATAAATACCTGGATTTTTAAACTTCAGTTAGAATGTAGTGGAGTCACAGGATAAGTGTCATAGCAGATTCTAAACATGATAAAAAGAATTGTGTAAACTACACATCTTCGTACATGCCAGTAACATGCATATACGTATAATGTGTCAGGCTGTGATTGCTAGAACTTGGATTTTTCATCTCATACTTCCTGGCATATGTGAATCTAACTTGCATCCATTACTCCCATGCAAACAAAAAGTTCTATTTTTAAAATCATTTCCTCAAAGGAAATTTTATGAAGAGGAAAGCTGAGATGGAAGAAGGAAATACATCCTGACGCACAGAATTTGGCTCCAGCATCCCCACCACCTGAGGTAATATTGTCCATGTCTGTATTAACAAGTAGGGTTGTGCAGTAAGAGCCAATCGATAGTTGGTGCCAAAAACCTTATATCCACATTATATGTGAATGGGGAAAAGGTGGGAATCTGCTCTGAACTAGCTACAATTTGTTCCTGTCAACTGAAAGACCATTAGTAGTTGGAGCACATTATATGGTCTGTGGAGGACACCTTTCAGCTTTGTTTCATTTGGGGGACATCTAGCTGTACACTGACCTGTGCTGCATAAAACAAAGTAAGGTAAGAGGGACTGAATAGGAGATTCACTTCAAAAGCGCGCTCGTGATCTGAACTTAAAGACTCATGTAGGTGCATCCATTGATTGGATGGTTTGAAAAGCTAACATATTCAACCAGGCTGCAGGGAATTAGCACCTTCTCCCCTTTGAAAATAAATTGTTTCTGTATTCACTGATTCTTAAAAAAATTATGCCAGTACAAATTCTCTGTGTGAGGGTGGGGAAACATGATAGAATATAAGGGTGTTCACAATGTAAGCTACTTGTTAGGTTAATAACAAAGGACTAAGCTGGTAAGTGAAGACATTCTGTTTCAAAACTAAAATGGAGGGTTCATGAACAGAAATGTGCCTTCTGTGTAAGTGATATCACTGAAAGCCTTCACTATTTATCTTTTTTTTTTTTTTTATAAAACAACAAGAGAACTTTCCCTGGTTTTGAAATTTTTAATTTCCATAATATGAAAACAGATAAATTTAAGGTCTTGCATGAAGTCCAGTACACCACTTAATTCTATAACATTAATCACAGACAATACAGGGACACTGTTGCTAACTTTATTCTTCTGAGTCCTTACTGTAAAATGCTACAGCAGTGAATGCAAAGAAATATCATAGTTCTGAAATAATGATGGAACTGAAGAAGGTCATGTGATGCAAACACTTGTGAAATTAGTAGAATTATGTATTTTTTGCCAAGGCTTATCTTCTGAGACTGTGGTTGTTTACAGGAGCTCTAGTACAGAAGCCATGAAGAAAGATGATATGAGGAGGCTGATTCTGCAATCTTATTCGGATGAATCAGGACTGATCAGTGAATGCATTCATTTTCATGAGGTAGCCTAATAATGGAATACTAAAGCATGAACCCTACATTTTAGTGTTCAAACTCTATTTAAATAACTGAATTCACAATGCTTTATTGCACTTACATTTGGTATGGTTCTCAGTGGACACTGGTAACATAATATGTACTACATAGGTAAAACCAAAAAGAGAGGCCATCTTACTTTTTATGCAGACTTTGCTAAAAAGAGGTAGTTGATCAAGTGGATGGAGATAATGAACCATATTGAAGTTTGTTACCAAAGCTTTTACAAACCTTTTCACGATAGCTGAAGCATTTATGTAGCTTTAAACATGAGTATTACTGGCTTTATGTAAAGGAAATCAATCCGTAATTTAAAAGTTGTACACACTTTCTTTAAACTCAAACTTAGAATCATAGAATCATTAGGGTTGGAAAGGACCTTAAGATCATCTAGTTCCAACCCCCCTGCCATGGGCAGGGACACCTTACGCTAAATCATATCACCCAAGGCCTCGTCCAACCTGGCCTTGAAACTTCCCCATTTTCTGAACCACATATATTGGTTCCATGTGTGGTACTTCCTTCCACAGTATGTCAGCATGCCTGCTTGTCAGTGGGAGTTTTGCCAGAGTTTTGCAGTCTAAAGCATCAAGCCATTATTGCATATTATTGAAAGGCTGGCAGCAGAGCTAGCATGGGGTTAGTAGCCATAACATATTGAGGGAGTTGGCTAAGAGAAGCCGTATCTTCTTCAGAACTCAGCAGAAATCTAGGAGCTGGAAAGTCCCTTCATCATACTGCTGATTTTAAGATCATTTGGTCTGGTGAACAGCGTTTCATTTGTTTGAATTGGAGGAGTTTTAAAATTCTGCTAGGTTTCTGCCAGCATCCTCAGCCTCTCATTTGGCAAAGAAGAGCATAGTCTAGTGCAACACATTTGAAAAGTCTGTGACCTCTTGAATATTTGAGCTTTAATATCTTACCGTGAACATCTACTTTTTAACCATATTTAGGGCCTGAGTAATTCTAACCATTGCTTTATTATTAAGTACTGCTTGGTCCCTCAGGGTAATTTTTTGGAAAAAAAAACACCTTAGGCCATGACATCTGTAAGAATTAATTCTCTGCAGGTCTTTGTATTTTTTTTTTCAACTCCCAGTCTGGTTTTCTGGATCTTTCTGCATGTTCATATATATTCAGCAGCTAAGCAACTATAGTTAAAAAAATTAAAAATGGTCACAGTAAAATACCAAAATGACATTTCCCTCCCCCAGCCTTTTGTAGGATAACTGTAACAGAAAGGGCCAGGAATTTTACTGCCAGCTGACCTGAGACCTAGGAGAACAAATAACTTCACAACATTTTTGCCCCTGTAATCTTTGTTCATTATTATAGGAAAGAGTTTGTTATGTCTTCATGCCCAGAAGGTTTTTAAGTTCTCTGTACCTCTAAGGCCACAATATGTGATGGAAGTAAAGGAAATTGCAGTAATAATTTACATCTGCTAATACAAACACAGCTGTACCTCCTCTTACTAGTTAGATAAAAATTCTGTCTGCAAAGTTCAAATCTGGAACTAAATACCAAAGATGACCAATTTAACAAAAATGTTACATTTGTTGTTTAGTTTAGGTCCAGTGTTTAGTTTGTTTCCTGCCATAGTTTTCTGTGCTTGTGTTGGCAATCTCCACTCGCATAAAAGCATCTTAAACAGATAATTTTTTTGCCTCTACAGCTTAATAGAATAAACTCAAATGCAATTTTATTTTCTCAAATACAGTTATGTCTTCATGGGGTGCCTGAAGTATTATATTGATGCATAAAAGTACTGAATATGGGGGTGATTGTTTTTGCTTCCTCCTAGTCAACCTGGCTAGGATGGCAAAAACTCTGAATTGTACATCAGGCCTTATTGAGGATGTTAGCAAAGATTGGGTTAATTTATTACGGTACATAAAGCAAATGTAATTTTGACTCAATCTGCTTATATATAGCTCCTCTAAGGTATTAGATTTTTCTCAATTACTCAGATTACCCATATGTTTCTTAGGTTATAAACACATTGTTTTTTATATAAAAAAGAAGGAAGATTGATTCTGACATTTTCCTAGTTGTGTGCAGTGACGCTTTTGAAATTGTAGCAGCCTACTGCCAGCTATGGATTTTGACTCAGGCATGAGATTTTCAAAAGGCGTGCTTACTTTAGAGAGTAGTTTATCATGTTTCCATCTGTTGGATAAATATTTTTGACAAAGTGTAAAACCCCAAATATATGTCATCCCAGATGCTCAAGAAATTTTTCATCTGACTGCTGACAGGCAACAAGATGAAATCAAAAATCCTTTCAAAATACCTGCCAAGCAAGTCTGTACAATCGTGATTTAGGCAACTAGAAACTCCTTTCAGATTACATTTGGAACTGTATCAGAGGGTAGCCACCTGAGATTTTGGACTTCAACAATCCAGAGAATAAAACCAGCAATCCATGCAACAGTGTGAACAAATCTTGCTGATCTTACTGATAGCATATGATTACCCAGCAGGTGGGAGATGTAAATCAGTAGCCTGGAGAGAATAAAGAGATACAAGAATGGCAGGGGGTTGTATGCTGAAGTGCATGCACTCTGCAGCTGAGTTCCAGGAAATCTGACCTTAGGTTATTTTAGATGCTGGCTGACAGAAGCCTTTTCCTTGCTGCCTGAACACTGTGACTGAAGAAATTTGCATTCCTACTTTTTGCATTTCACCCAGCTAACTTTACCAGTCAGGATTGAAGTGAGCAGGCAAGATGAATCCCATTGTGTAAGCTCCCTTGCTGGCATGCTGAGATTCCTCAGCCTCTTACAGGAAGTATGTGGTAGATAGACCTCAGGAGGTGTTCCTTGAGGGTTCTAAAACCGGTATGTGCATTTGTAAATACACCTCTTTTCCCTTCCCCATTCACTAGGAAGATAATGCTCTGATGGTACATTCTCTGTAATCCCTCTGTGACTTGAATAGATCTGGAGGGACCTGTTGCTCAAGTACATGCCTCCTTTGCAATACCAATGTGATTTCATTTATACTATTTTTTTTCCTATTTTTATATTGTGTCTACTGATGTATTTGTCTAGGGAGAAGCAAAAGCAGATAAAGTAGAAGAGATGAAGTATGTCAGAAGAGCACCTTTATACTGTTGACTACTAAATGGCAGGTTTGATGAGAGCAGGTAAACATAATATTTTTTTTTTTGTTTTGAGTCACAAGTTTTCTTTATGTAGCCACTGGGAGATATCGTGAGTTTATGACCTATTTCGTATGGTGTGATTTTAGTCATACACTTTTCCTTTTTGCCCTGTCAGGGTAATCTGAACAGCAGGTTTCTTTTGTATTAAAGTCTGTTTCGGACCAAAGCAGTGAAGAACTATGATCTTGGTGCAAATTGCTGCTGTTAGTTTCCCAATACTTCCCAAGTTTCTGCCTGTAGAATAGGAATATGAGACTGGAAGTGTCTCTTTGGATCAATTAATCCACCTCCCTGCTGCAGCAGGCATCACATTTTATAAATCCCTCTAAAATCAACCAAACTCAGTCTTGAAACTACCTCTTCACCCACCTCACCTGTACTGAAATATCCTGCTCTTAAAAATGCTGTTCATGAACGTCAAAGGCCTCAGCTCTGTTCACTGCTAGATCTTCATAATAAGCTTCCCCGTCTCTAACAGCACCACTGCTAAGTCAGCTTTTCTAATTCAGTGAAAAGAAATGAAAACTTCAAGAACAATTCCAAGATTCTATGAATGGAAATCGCATAACCTGAGCCTATGTCTTCTGGCCAGAAATGGGAAACAGAAAAATCTCCTTAGAATTTCTGATTTCCAGCTTTTTTTTCTGATTCACAACTTCCTTTGTCTTCAGTGATTATCTACAATGAGATTCTAAACATGTAGAGGTTTGTCCATCCTTAGCCATGCTATTAAATTGTTCTCTGTTCTTCCAGTTCTGTCTGATTTTGTGGACTGGTACCATAACAATCTGAATAGATTCCATAATTTATGACTATTTTAACTAAAGTGGATTGCTTTATTTTTAATTTAAAAAATAAGGTTTAAGTAGATTGCATCTTCATCTGATATTCTAAGGATTTATTATCAGACTCTGACAAAAGAAATAATATGGATTTTTTTTTTTTTTTTTTTTTAGAGAAATGCAAGATAAACCACATAGCTTCAGAAATACCTGTCTAGCACTGTAGATTTTGAATTCATGGAGTTGGTTCAGGGGAGATTTTACTGATGAGGTGGGATGGGAGTCTTTCATATATTTGTTGCAGTTGCTTCAGGTGCTTTCAGGTGCTTTCAGGTCACAGATGCACAAATTACTGCTTTTGGCAGGGCTCTGCAAAGACAGTTTGAGCTAAGTGCATATAAAGGTGAAATTTTATCCTGTAAGTGGAACTGTGTACTTCTAAAATTTTAAAATGGCTGCTTAGGGCTTAGTAAACCTCCTCTGAGTCCAAATGTTCATCCAACATTTGTAACAGAATTTTAGGTCATTTTAATAATCCTGTCTTTTACCTATTGTCACAGAGTCTGTCAACAGTTTTTAATATTTTTGGTTGCAAGGGGTAACAACTGTAGACAATTTTTGAGTGTGGGAATTACAGGATCTGTTCGTACGTTATTCTGCCACATGATGTCCTCCTAACCTAGGTTGGAATCATTGAATGTACGCAGTCCAATTTAGACTGGAAAATTCTGTAACATTCACACGTATGTTTATATAAAAGGTAGCAATCTGCTTGCAGACTAATCAGAAGGATCCATGATTTTTTTTTTCCGTTGCTGCATATGAATTTTGAATTTCTTCTGATTCTGAATAGTACAAATGCAGCCTTATAATTACCTTCATTAGAATCCAAAGCTCAAGAAACATAAGGGTTTTAATTTTGTTCTAACCTGATGAACAAAATCCATTATACAAATACTTCATTCTTCTTGTGTATTTCTAGCACTAAGGCCTGATTTGAATGTTGCACACAATATGTGAGTTGTAATTAATCTTGTAAATAAATGACTTTGACTAAAATTTCTAGAATTTGTAGTTGAGGTATGGCACAAATACAGACTTTAGATTTAGATACAGCATACTATTTGTCCTTTAATTTGTGCCATGGTTATTTCTGGCTCCAATTTTTTATCAAAACAAGTATACTTTATAATGCTAATGTAGCATATTTTTGTGTACTTACGACTTTGTGACTGCTAGCTTTCTCTCAGTACTTAAAAATAAAAAGATAATCACACCTCCTCCCATCCCAAGTAAAGGAAAATATTTAAACTAAAGAATCCTTCAGAAGAAGCCTTAAGAATTTTGATGATAGTGCTGTACACCTGCATCCACTGGAGGTCAGTAATGTCCCGCAATGTGCCGCTTAGCACTGACTCCTCCCAGCTGTGTCACAGTGATTAAATCTAGTGCTTTTTAATCAAAAAAAGGAGTTTAAGCCCCACCCTGGTTTGTCTGCGGCAGAGTTGTTTCCGTTCCATACTTTATCCATATATGTCTATGTATGTTAATATATGTGCTTAGATTTGTATTTCTCACCATATAGACACCAACAGAGATACAAGTAAAACTTCACCTCTTCCTGTTCATCTGATCTTTTACTACAGTAGGGATTTACATTGGGCATAAACTATTTATATGTTTTACATGGTGGCTGGATAGTAACAAAAGGAAATTTTTCCAATACAGGTATCTAAATTTTTTAAAATTTCCTTGCAAACTGACTCTTTGTCCACTAAATAAGATGCTGAGACTTATGTCTTAGGAAGTTCTTCCCCATGAGGGTAGTGAGGCACCGGCACACAGGTTACCCAGAGAAGCTGTGGCTACTCCATCCCTGGCAGTGTTCAGGGCTGGGTTGGACAGGGCTTGGAACAATCTGCTCTAGTGGAAGGTGTCCCTGCCTGTGGCAGGGGGCTGGGACTAGTTGAGCCCTAAGGTCCCTTCCAACCCACACCAATCTGTGATTCTATGATTCTATGTCACACTAAAGGGCTTTCTTCTGAAACGGAACTTAAGTTTAGCCTAAACTTCAGTTCAGGAGTTTTAAATGAACTCATTCTTCAATTAAGAAAGGAGGAAAATTGTTACATAGGATAATATTAGGGAAATGAAAGGAAGTGTTTTCCGTGGAATACCCAGTAATTGGTCCATCCCTCTCCTCTGAATGCACCTAGTACTATTTAAAGTAATTATACTAATCATCACAGTGTTTAGGCACAGATTACATTCAAGGAGAAAAATGAAAATGCTGTTCTAGCATTCCAATGAAATCTGCTTTGACAAGTTAATCCAGTATTTTTTTTTAATTAGACAATGGTAATAAAATATTTAATTACACTTAAACTTTTTTATTTCTGTCATTCAACCAGGCAAAAATATTCAGAATTCAATAGATGTCAAGCAATGAAAATGCCTCAAGCACTTTCAATATCACCATGTTTTATAGATGAATGAAAGAAACAGAGCTTCAGTGTGCACAGGTATAATATTTAATTATTTAATTCCCTTTCTACTGAGGCTGAGCAAAAGGGAAATACCTCCCTTGTCCCCCACCGCAGCCCTGTTTGTTTCTGAGGAATGTTAATCAGCTTCCTAGTGCTAGCAGGCTACAATCACCAATCATCAATAAAACTACTAATTAGGTTTAGATAATGATATTGGTAATGAGCCTCTAGTTCCTCTGAGGCAGTACACTGAGCTTGCCTCAGATTTATTCAGTTATTTATCAAGAATCTTATTGTGACAAGCAATGTGAACAGTTTGAGCATGTTTAATGCCAAATATTTTCCTCAGTTTAATAGCATCAACAGATTTTATTTATTTATTTATGAATTTTGTTGGTTTTAAATTAACTTTCCATCAAACAATGGTAGTATTTATCTGCTTGTTAGTCCAATTGTTTGATTACTGTCTTGGACATCTTTACTAGTCAGGCAGTTATCTAATCACCTGAGGTAAGAACACTTAATTGGGGGAGATTTTTAAATAAACTTTCTGTTGTCTTTCCCCTTTAGGAGGTCTGCGTCTGGTTTAATGTTAATGATCTTACACTGCTATTTTTATAGGGCATAAAAACCTTTATTTTGCCATTCTGCAGGTATTCTACAAGTGAGGTTAAAATTGCTGGAGTTGCTACCTGTGAGGGGTACAGGGCATAGTTTTGTCTCCCCTCCACGTAGCACCGTTGCTGCAATTGTCAAATATGGGGTTATTTTAGATGTTCCGGAAAGTTAACCTCAAAACTCTCTTCGTCATTATGGCTGAGAAAGAATACCATTATCCAGTAGATGATAACAAATATTATGGAACAATTTCAAGCTTGGAGCTGTGTGGGGAATGCTGCACAAGAAGCTGCGCCAGCAGACCTGAACAAGAGCACGAACATCCTGACCCTCATCAGCTGCAAACCATGGCAGTCAAGAGGAGTCAAAGTTAGAGCACTGAGATAATCTCTGAGAACTGTAGATGTTGAAACAAAGAAGTCACTGAAGACAAAGATATAATGTACCTCAGACTTTCCCAGGAGCTAATGAAAGTCTCCAGTGTGGACTAAGGGGACAAAAGAAGTGTGTTCAAGGAAAATTGAAAGTAATGATATGGCAGAAAGTGTTAACAGAGAAATGTGCTTATACATCTGAGAACAAATAAGTTGTTCAAGCAAAGGCACGTGAACAATAATGTGATCAGTTGAGAAAAGCGTATGATGTTGCAAAAAGTACTAAAAAGAAACTAACATATTAACATTTACTAACCGCTAGGCAGGGGTCTATACAAAGTCTATAATCTTGCTCAATAAATGATTTCTGTTGCATCACAACTGGAGTCCGTGCTTCAGTTGCCACAGAGCTGCAGTAGGGAAGCAGAAATGAGATATTTTTAGCACTTGAGGATGTCAGTTTGGTGCCATCTTTGTCCCTGGTAAGGATGGTGTTTAAGGGCTAGACATGGAAAAATGCCTGTTTCTTTGTAGCATTTTGTGTTGAAAATGAGACTACACAAGGTAGAAATTTAACTTGCATGTTTCCTGACTGACCTGCCTCTGGTCCTGCTAAATGTTGTAGGATTTATTTGGCTTTTAATCTCTTCAAACACCAAACCCCTGTCAGAAGACTAACAGTGGAAGACTATAGTATACTGTAACATTCTGGATTTTGAGCCTTTTTTTTTGTTGGTTTGGTTTGGTTTTCTGTGGCTGTTTTCTGTTTGTACGTGTTCACTGTCTTAGAGTAAAAGCCTGCATCTTAATCCTTTTCCCAAAAGACTAGGCATTTAAAGATGTAATTTTTGTCAAATTTGCATGTTTAAATTGTAATTCTGAAAATGCTTTCCAGTGTTTCCTGGTGGCATTTGGAGTCTGGTTTTGTTTGTATAATTGGAAGTTCCCTGGTACAATTAAAACTTCTTCAGTTTTGACCACTTGAGAGCTACAAAATGGAATTGTTATTCTTTTGTGTAAGTATGTGGTGAGTAGGCTTTAAAGGCCTATGTAAGTTATTTTTGTATTCCCATTAATAGAGCATCTGTGTAAGAGGAGTATCTTGAGTGTTTGTTCTGGCTTCCAGTAAAGTTTTTATGACTAAGAACAAATGTAAGAATTGTTAATGAGACACTGAATTGCATTCTCACGTGATCCTTCTGCCTGGCCTGAGAAGTCTTGAATTACTTTCCTTACAGTAGTGCAGCTTCAGCTGAATGTTGTAGAATAGTTTCCAGCTTGCTTGTTAATGCATTCTCTGGGAAAATGGAGGATGTGAGTATGAGCTCCCTCATTCTCAGGAGAAAATCAGAGGTGAGCTTTTTGTTTCATAGGTGATAGTGAGGCTCTTCCATGAACACTAGAAACTTTCATTAAGTTGTGTTCTGCAGGAGTAGAACAGATGCCAATCAGCTCTGAAAGAAATGTGCATTTCTTGGGGGAGTGAGATGTAGGCTGTGGATCTCTAGAGAATTAAATACTTTCCATGAAACCTGAAGAAGATATTTAGAGACATACTGTTGTCTATAAAAAAAGCTTTGTCTATACTAGCTTTTAGCAATGCTACTCTTTTCCTGGCGACTTAAGTCTGTTTTATCCCTTCCTGAGCCCTGTGTAGGGCATGTGGCAACTTCTCTGAAGGTCATGGTCTCTGATTTGAGGGCAATGGTAAATATACCTATTACTGCATCTGTATGTGAGCTTTTTATCGTATTTATCACTTTATTCTACTTACACTTTAATTATGCTTAGTTAATGTGGAATCTTCTGCAGCTACTGTTGGAACTGCTTTTTTTTTGCCATGTTGTGATTTTCAGATGCTCTTTCTCACAGGCTGATGTGTTGAAATTGTGAGATTAACAGTAAGGAGTGTTTTAAAGAAACCCAAACCCAACCCACCCCCAAGCCCTACAGATTCCTGTGATCCACTTACTAAAGATATGCCTAATTTGTACTGAAAATAGAAAAAAAAAACCAACCAAAAAAAAAAAAAAAAAAACCACCAACCTCTATTAATCTGGAATTGCTAGCCCTTTGGTGTCAAGGACATTTAAATGAAGATTTCATAAGTTAACCATGAAATTGAAAGTGGTATTAATAGCACTGTACTGCTATTCACTGTATAGGAATTCTGTGATATGTAGCAGTGTTATAGCTCCGCAAATATTGGTACAGAATTAGAACTTTTTCTGAGTGTATGAGTATCCATTTTTATTTATTTATTTTTATTTCAGGTTATACTGTATCCTATGTTTAGAAGAATTGCAAATGAAAGAGCTTGATTTTTTTTTTTTTTTCTGTTTTCTGCCTTTACTGAACAGGAAAATAGAAGACCTAGTCAGCTACTTGTATTGTTACTAGTATCAGGACATGTACTGCTGCTGTACTGTCTGGCATGATGGCAAATACATGTTTGTCTAAAGAACAGCTCTACTTCCAAATAAATAAAAACGTATTCTGCACATTGCAGCCTCATAACTGGCCCTACTGAAGATTAAGGGTATCAGGATATATCAGTTATAATGAAGATACAGGTTCTGTGTAAGTGAGAATTTAGGTCCTCATAGGATTTAGGCTACATGTCCTTCTTTGCTCACTACTTGTACTCCAAAGTATTATGTTAGGATTTTATTTTTTTTAGAAAGGTTCTGCACCCAGATTTGTCCAGTGAACTTCTCAGACTTCAAAGATAACTTTACTCTCAGAAATATGACAGAACAATGTAGCTACTTGGAGGAATTCTGCTGACAGTTACTGTAAAGAATCTATTAAGCTGACTCTTAAACTTGTGTTGCTTTTTTGTTAGCTACCTAAAGGTATGAGTAATTACTTCAACATTCTTGTTGTAGAGAACTGTATGAACAGGTTTACAAGGCTTGTGAAAGTATGACTTGAGTTCTTTTGTTATTTCAATCAGTGCATGATTTTGAATAGAACTACTAAAACCAGAGCTCTGTTTGACATTTATGTGTATTTCGGGGGGTAGTTAAGAAAAGTTACTGTAGCCAGAAGCATATTTTATAAATATGAAAAGATAGAGGGATGAAGATTGCTGGACACATTAACAAATTTATGTATACAGAAATCATTATGTAACATACAGAAAAGTAACATTTCCATTAGAATATTTTTTAATGATAAAACATGAAACTCACAGGATTTTGAAACTGTTCATATGAATTGAAAAACAACAGCAAAAAAAATAATCTATATTGGAAGGAATTCTAAATCTTTTAATGAAAAGTTAAGAGTAGTGCAGCAATGAGGAAAAGCCTGCACTAATACTGAAATTGCTGAAATGTCTTCAGTCACTTTAGGAAGCCAAAAATAGAACACTTCATCTTTGGAAACTCAAGTTTTGGATTTTAATAACAGTTTTCCTCTGAAGATTTTCCATTTAGTTGTTACAGGGATGAACAGGTCTTTTAATTTCCACTGAATTCAGTTCTGTTTGAAAAGTTTCCATGCAGAGCTACATTTTGGTACACTGACCAAGAAAAAAAGAATCTGGTAGTGTCTGGGGGGTGGTATCTTATTTTTATAATAATTTATAAGATTTGAATTCTGCTCTCCCAGTGTCTTAACTCATACAAACTGTATTTTGTTGCCCTCATTTTTCCCACTCTGTCTCAAGGGCATGATTTTCTTTTCTTTTTTTTTTTTTTTTAATTATATTCTTCTGTTGTGGCTAGGCTCTTCATTATAAAGCATCTTGCCCATAAAAGCTGTCATCTGATTGATAAGGGAACTTAGGGAACTTGGCCATTGGTTTTACTGTAGTGTGATATACCTGTTAGACATCATGGTAGAATACCTGGCTCGAGATGTTAGTGTAATCTGAACTACAGTTAAATTTCCTCCCTCACCCCACAAATATTTTTGTAAATAATTTCAGTTCAGAATTTTGAAGAGGTGAGGGTATGAATGATTGTGGCTGACTCCTGTTCCTGGTTGCTTTGTTATTAGGAAATACAATGAGGGTGATATCTTGCCAGAAAAAGCAAAGCAGAATGCTCCTTTAATTGAAGTAAATGTCTGTTTTGCCAAAAGACATGGTGTTTAGTCCTAGGTTCCCAAATCTGATATCTGTTTTCTCAGATCCTGTAAGGTAATCCCACCTGTGTACCTGTGTGGGGGTTGTTGGTTTTTTTTTGGTTGGTTGGTTTGTTTTTTTTTTGTTTGTTTTTTTTTTAGTTTGCTAAAAAAAACTTCTCAGGTAGAGAAGAAATTAATGTAGATATTTACTAGTTTTCCTAAATGTGGTTTAAAACCCGATTTGGTTTGTTTTGGTGTGTAAAAACTTTCATCATATAGGAAACCAATTGGAAAAAGTCACTTTCTCATAGATATTTTAAGTAAATTTCAGATCTTTTAGTGTTTGTATATGAACATCTTAGATGGCAGATGTCATACAAGATGAGATATTAAATTTTTTTTTAATGAGAGGTAGAATAAAAATGAGTGAATTAATCTAAATTAAGACCAAGAGAGTAGAACTCAATTACCTGCTTTTTTTGGGGGGGTTATTACATCTTGAACTTCTGTGATAGCGAGGTGAAATGCCCTCAGTTAAAGGCAATTTCATGCAGCCTTATTTAAAACATTTTGATACTTATTTTTAGGGTAGCTTAAATGGAGGTGGATGAAGCGCATTTGACAGCTCAGTCTGGAAGCACTCGTCGTATGATCAGGGCCCGGTCTGGGAGCTCTGCTCTGGCTGCCCCAGCGGTGGCCGACGTAGGCACCCAGACAGAGCCGATGAGAGGGGAGGCTGCAGTGCAGAGCTTGGGGTGTAGAGAGTGCCTGCACTGGTCTGGTGAGGGGAGGGTGCACAATGGGCAGGGCTGCACTCGGTGCTCCCTGGTGGAGGTCCTCCTGCAGCAGGGGCTGAGCTGCGGGATGCTGTTAATAGGCTGCGAGATGTCAGGGAAGCTGAGAGGAAGCAGCACTGCTTGCTCCCGGCCCAAACTGTGCAGGGGCCTCGAGCTTCACCTCTACCTCATGAAGGAAAGAAGGAGGCCGTTAACCTGGGAAGCTGGGAATTAGTGACAAAAAAAAAAAAGACAACAAAAAAAAAAGAAGGAAAAGGACAAAAGGACAACCAAAAGCGAGGGGCTTCCCCCCAAATCCCCTGTCCCCACGCAGAACCGCTTTGCTGTCCTGCAGCAGGCTAATGAGGAAGCGCACTCGAGCCAGAAACAGCCGGCTGGTGCCCTGCTAAAGAAGATCTCTGCTGGTGCTGCTAGGAAAAAGTGGCAGGTCGTAGTAGTAGGGGACTCTACACTGCAAGGGACAGAAGCACTTGTCTGCCGGCCAGACCCCATCTCAAGGGAGGTGTGTTGCCTACCGGGGGCACGGATCAGGGATGTGGCAGAGAGGCTGCCTGCTCTAGTAAGTCCCACGGATTATTACCCACTCCTGGTGATCCATGTGGGTGCTAGG